AACTCAGTGATGAAATGTGCTTGACTAATGGGATCAGAAATTGAAGTATCTTGCTTTCCAGTACTTGAAGTTACATTGATTAAATCGTTTCGTTTCTGTTCAATCAGAAGTATATAAACACCCTCCAATTGATGAAACTCACAGAAGATCAATTAAGTACTGAAACATGGATTGCGAGAAACCCGGCTCAGTTGCAGCGCTGTGAGGTCGGTACCGGTGATAGGGCCTGCCGTCCCAGCTCTACGGGCCTACAGAACACTTACTCCGGTCCTGCATCGTATTATACCATTAACATGATGTCAGGTTTCTTTGGAAAGGCTTACATACACGGTGTTATTTTCAAGAAATACCAGCACAGAGTGAACCCGTTGACACTGCAAGATCAGAGTTCAACTGTTTTAAACTGTACAACATATGCACCGTGACACGGTTTCCTGGGATTGGCCAACAGCATTCTCCACCAACCTGTTACCATCAGGTACGGTTCGGGTGGCGTACGTTGACTTCAGTCCCTAGTTGGCCCTATATCCGCTGACTGGAGAACCACAGGTTCTCCAGGAATGCTCTAATTAGTTGTAGGGCAAAGAACAGTTAGTACATAACCACCCCCAAGTCTTTCCCATGGCTATTCGATCTCAATTTTGAAGGGGAGATTAACTCGTCTCGGGTCGGGGAAATGAGGAGTTTTTTAGGCCTAATCCTTAAAACAGTCAGGACGCCGTTTCCAAGAAACTAAAAAGGTGGTGGAATATCATTTCAAAAATGCTCACGCTTAGTGCTTAAATATGTCCGTTGTGAAATAAGCAATTTAACGAGCTTGGCTTGTGGAAAGTAATTATCTTCCAATTTGGGACTTGCAATCACATTCTAATTAAAGTATCTCACCTCTGTTCAATCGTAAATTAAAAACAAAATACTCTAAAATCGAGGAATCTCCTACAAAATTTTTTTACACGACAGTAAGGCTAAATAGCTTTAATATCTTACGAGGGCGGAAAGTGCACTAATTCCCTCATCGTTCCAGAAAGAATTTATACTCTTACGAAGAAATTTTGAAACTCTATCATGTGCGTTTTTTGCACACATCGCAGGCTCAAAACCTGCCACCCATACTCGAAGACAGGCAGGAGCAATTTCGTGGCCTGTCAACAAAGAATATCACTCAGCATTGTGGATGAATCTGAATTGTCCTGTCGGTTTTTGTGCAAAATCTTAATTGATAAATCTTCTTCGTGACAAAACAATCCTGGGTTATTAGACAGAAATCAAGGTTGTGAGTAACGAGCACGACCAATATGAAGATGTTAGGTTTCTTTCAAAAGGCTACTTTGAATTCAGTTTTGGCCTGCTCAGTCCGTTTAACCCTCAAACAGCAGGGTTATTTTGGCCCATCTAACAGCCAGGTGGGGGAGGATCTCTCTCCCCCTCAAGAAATTGACTGTGTTAGGCTCGATCATAGTATATTTTTAAACTTGGCATATGTAAAGACACTCCTTCACATTGAAAATGTGACGTTTGAAGCCAATCAAACATTATTGTTTTGTTGTTACTGTCATTTGAATTTCTAGACTACATTTGAGCCCGCCCGCTTTCATTGAGAGCCGCAGTGGAAAAAGACTTTCAGTACATGTTCAGCTGACCTGTCTTGGAAAAGTAAGCGCTGCGCAAGAACGGTACAATTGATTTTCACCAAATTGGTGTCAAAAAGACCGCAACGAGTTACTAAAATCTCCTTGAGACTCAACTCCAGAAAAAAATGCACTGCGACGATATCGGAAATAATGTTGGGGGCCGGAAAACAGGGGTCATACCCCCCCGCCCTGTAGGGCGTAATGGCAAACATTCTCATCCAATGCAATCCCATTCAATTAATGCCATCCAAAGGATTATGCAACCAAATTCACTTGGAAAGATTCCTCTGCTTGACTTCGCTAAACTGCTGATTTTGCACGTTCCCAGGGGCTTGAGGAATTAAATCGAATTGCACTGGCTTAACAACATGTCAACGATGGAGGATACGGGGACATCAATCCCAAATATGCAGGCTATAATTTGAATACTTATTTTTACACCTATAAAGTATTGCCAAATTAGGGTATTTAAATGATGGATCCACCCGCGAAATAGGAAATTTTGAGACATGAAAAATTCTTTGACAATTTGATTATTTACATTCGCATTCATGTACTTCTTGTTGAATCAGATGTGTTTGTAAACTTTAGAAATATCTATAACTCTAGAAATCCCAAATTCTCCAAATGATAAAAGTGAATTGAAACTGACCTTTTCCCTGAAAATATTTTGAGTCCCACGTCATCGTTCCTAGTATAGACCTAAATCAACAGAGCACAGGCCGTCACCGTTTTCAAGAAGATACAGGAATATCAAATGTAACATTTTGTTTATTTTATTTCGATTTGATCATTGTTTTGTTTTAAACATCGTACTCTTCCTTTCATTCTTTGCCATTATTGACGCAAGGCACAGTCATCTGGATAACTGTGATATTTCCGTTCAGGGAAACCCCCAACTGACTACTCTCAAGTCGGTTCGACACCGGAAACTCATCAAATGTTAAACAAATTGGCTTAAGGTAAATTTACAGTTCAAATTAAAAAGGATTTAATTCAGTTAGCCCTACAGTCAAAGGTTACAAAATGCAACAAGAAATTTGGGAGTTGTTGATAAGGGACAACGCCAGACTAGGGTCCAGTCCCGTGAGACGACCGTGCTCGAACGGAAATAAGAAAAGAGGGAGTCCCGCGAATCGGTGATTCAGAACAATCCCACGAGAAGATAGTGGGTTCCATCACAGATAAGGAACAGTTCCGTCCAGGTCTCAGACAACAAGGGTGGAGAAGAAGATTGAATACAGCAGGAGCCCTTAGGATGATTGTGTCAAATGAGGAGCAGGCAACCAGTGTGAGAGCGGTTTGGTTGGTCTGGTATAGTGAAGCGGCGATTCCTTCCCGTCGGCTTGGAAGTGTCGTCCTCCTCACCAAAGTCAGGAAAGGAATGCCGCGCTACAACCCAACCCAATCTAACACTCAAGCCCAGGCCAATGCCTTCCACATTGTCTTAAACTTTCTTTTGGGGAATGGAGAATGATGGGCCATGCATATTTGACAGAGGTTAAACCACAAGGATGTATTAAAAGGAAACTGAGGCAAAGCCGTCGTGAGGGCTACACTTGCACTCAGTCATACAACAAACTAATGGCATACAACAACGACAACTTGGAAGAGGGGTACGACAACTGCATTTCGTGCCTTTGCTGCGAGACGCAACATGTCTGTCCCTTGACGACGTGCAAAACGCACAGCCTGGAAAGGCAAATACACTTTCGTTTTAACCCACACATACCTTACACAACTACTGTGGACATTCCTTTCTGTTTGTGTAGTTTAGAAAACTCCGTGAAAATACTCATTTTTCTTGAACTGGGAACACGATTTTCAGCTGGCTTTTTGTACAAGGTTTCTTTGACTAGGCCTATTCCTCTTCCTTTTACGACAGATGACCCCAACCCCCAAAATGCCTCTGAACGTCTTTTTCAGAGAAGGACAAACGTCCTGTGGACATGTGTAAGTCCACAGAACGTCTTCCTTTCCTGCATCGTGTGGACATCTTTTGTTCACAAGTCCACACTAGGTACATGTATGTAAGGTTAGCGCACCAAGAGACACAAATCTCAGCTGTGCGTGCCTATACGCCTCCCTGCACCTTCCCAGTGGAAAAATAAACCCCACAGAAGGGCCTGAATGTAGCAAAAATGTGTTTTCATTTTCACGAAGGGACGCGCATCTTTGCTAATTGACTTCGGCCAGTTAGTGGGTTCATAATGTACCATCATGTACAGTACGTGAACCTTTCAAAGAATCGTGCTAAGGTTTCTTTACTACACAAAGTTGTTAGAAATGGTAGTGTTTGCAGTTTTAAAATAGAAGAAAATTCTCTTGCGATTATCTAGAAAACCCGCCTTTCTTTGAAATTCACACGTGTGTCTCTTCGTGAAAACAGTGACAAGGTGGCAGTCGCTTTAACCGACACGACACAGAAAAGTTACTTAGAATTTGAACACGGTTAATCTTGAGTCTTTGGGGAATAGATCTTACTACTGCGCCAAATGTCCGTTCGGTTGAAAAGAAATGATCTGGTCGATTTCTGTGAAATCGGCCTGACGTGATCCAATTGGCATTGGCTCAATTTCTCTGTGATGCACGGGCTCAGAGGACGTCTTTTCCACTTACTTAATTGGATGCACTTTAGACACAAGGGAGGAATTCGTTAAACGTCTATATAAACCGGTATTGAGCGAACTATAGTCAGACCATTCTTCGGTATCGAGTTTGACAAGAGTGCAAACACGTTCCAGAATCTGACAAAGTACATACAGCATCATGACCGCCCGACAGATTTCGTGTGCAGCTCTCTTCCTAGTCATCGGCTTGGCTGCTGGGGTGGATCTGGACTGTCCACCCTTCTGGACTCGCTTCGGTGATCACTGTTACCGTTTCTTCCGCCCTACCAAGTCCTGGCAAGCAGCCGAGGAGCACTGCCAAGAGTTCTTTTCCCGAAAGGGCCAGGGGCACCTGGCGTCCATCCACACTGCAGAAGAGAACAACTTCCTGATTCAGATGTGGCAGACTCTGGTCCCAAGAGAAGAAAATTACGTTAATACCCACGTCTGGCTCGGACACACTGACCAGACGAAGGAAGGGACCTTCTCCTGGAGTGACGGGACGGGCTTTTACTACCAGGCATGGCGTGACGGGCAGCCGAACAACAGTGGGCAGGGAGAAGACTGTGGCACTTTTTGGAACCACGGCAATGTGATAGGATGGAATGACGATCGATGCAGGGCCACCTTGCCGTACATCTGCAAAATGCCCATTAATAAGGAGTAAATCGAAGGAAACCTGAAAAGTGGCCACAACCAGCATCACTGCATCTTTCCATTATGAACTTGAAACAACGACTCGGTACAACGCACACTGGCAGATGAAGGACCACGTGACACAAAACCAGCCATGCCAAGGAGTTGTGAAAAACACACCCAATGAACACCGTGCGTCCGTGAACAGAAACGCGGCGACAGCCATGTAACAATAGTATCGTGCTATTAATTGCAGGAACACTTTTGATTCAATACTTATCTTTTTCAAACTTTCTCAGTGGCATGAACGATAGTTCATCGTTTGGAAACTCCTTTGCAGTGGAGGTGTTGCTGACGAGAGCTCTGCAATAATTTGATGAGATTTCATATCAGAATCAATCTACCTCTTTGAATTATCGACGGTTCCCCACATTAAGTTACCAACGTCTATGTATTTTATTGACTCTTTATAAAAATAGCTTTAAATGCACTTGTTTCAGGTTTATGATCAGATATATACGTTATGGATGGTGGTTCACTTTTTAAGTCTTTGCATTGCCGTGTTTGGTTTTGTATGGTTTACTGCTGTTTGTTTATTATTAGAGTAGCTATAGCGAGAATTATCGAAACGCATATATGCATGTACTAGGCACTATTTTCAATTATACTTTACATTACTGCCTTTACATTGGCACATCGCACCCAGACAGTCCATCACACTACTTGCAAGTAACAAGGAACTTGATATACTCACCGAATTACTGAAGAAATGTACCCTGAAAGCAAAGAAATTTGATTGACCAACGGTTAGCGATTTTAAACTGGGAAGTTTAAAAAGACCCAACTGTCCTTTACACAATGGGCGCTCGTGTAAGCTAAATACTTTCCCCTCTATTTGTGGAAATTCCAGATACCGCAGCATATGATTTCTGTTAATTTTTTTTAGTCCTGGCTCAACTTGAGAAAATGTATGGACGTCGCTTTGCCTCATTTCTGTGAGCTTCATAGAATATCTTAGACATCTTCGGTAATCTAATTCATATGACATATGTCTATGCAAATTTCCTAGAACTTTTGCCCACCTATTCAATAAGAAAATCGTTTACGGTAAAATGTGGGGCGAAATGCCATGGACATGATCATTTAATTTGTCTACTCTCCGAGGTCAACTGCTAATCTCCAGGAATGTGGAAGAACAAGGCATGTAAAATGGCCTAAATAAAATATTACTAGAAATTCCAGGTATTCTGAAATTTTCGAAGACATATATCGTTTAGTTTAAACGTAGACGTAGAGTGGTCATTTAGTTTAAACAAGTTGATTGATTAAATCATATTCTGTTAGGAATTTAGAAGCATGAAAACGTTGTCTTTGTGTAGCTCTTTTTTAAGGCTTTAATATGCAAGCGAATGTGATGGGTTTATTGTTCTCTTCAACCATTGTTCCGCCTTGGGCATCTTTAAAAATATCCTCCAGAAAGAATTGTACACTCTGAGGACTACTACTTATAACGACAACAGCGTTAGGCGTCTTCTAAAAGCTTCTTCACGTGCAGATTTATTTTCAGAGAAACCGTACAAGCAAACAATGCACTGTAAACTGAACGTCCGTGTTCGTTGAGTTTAGACCGTTAAAAGAGTACACGAGGTGCATAAATTTCATGGTCATTTTTCTCTCCACTTTTTAGCATTTTGTAGCGCTTTCTTCAAAAACCCCTGCAATTTTAAAGAGCCAGATTATTTTGGACCATCTCACTGCCGGAGGGACCGATGTCCAATTTAATAAAAAACAATGTGCAAAAGCGCTCCTTTTCAGAACAATTCGGAAGTTCTGACATAAAGGAATAATGCATAGCGTCAATCACTGTGCACCTAGCCTGTTTTACCGGTTTAATGCCAGCCTATTGCCGCCAAAGCGTCCAACGACAGTGTAAGATGGTGTTGACCATTACACACCATTACCCACCTTACACTGTCGCCGACCACCTTGACAATGGACAGGTGAGCCGATTAACCAGGAAAAGTGTGTTGAGGCAGGCTTGCAAGGTGGTCAATTTGCATGATCATCATTCATGACGGGCCCCAGGTTGCAGTGGTGGCACGGGATGCTACATTACTATGCTATTTGGGATGCAAAGTATTTGAGTGGGAAATGGTGCATAAATTGGCTTAAAATGGGAACATCAGAGGCACGAATATCGCAGCAACGGTCCTAAAAAGAAATAAAAGGGGAGATTTGGGGTTTCTTTGTGTGATCTTTATGGTTTTTCTGAGTGGTAAGTATATATGATCCCAGTCATTTCCCAGATTTCTGTGCCAAGTGATAATAACATTAAAAAAGATATAAGCTTGCTTTTATCCGCAGTATTACTGTGACTAGTATAAGGCTTAGCGTCTTATTAAAAGTGAAAAAAATATAGAAAAGGAGACTACTGAGATGTACTGCATTTGCAGTGATACAATTGCTGCAAAAGTGTGTATATCGCTGCTCCCGCTCTTTCACAACAAAGTAAAACTAACATTTGGACGTCTGCTGACTTTTCCTCCCATGCTGATGAAGAAAACTGTCCTCTGCAGTGAAAATGCAGGCATAGCAAGAAATGCTGAGGAAGGATTGCGTCCGGAGAGTCCCTGCCCTACCGGTCACTGATGGGGCATAACGGGCCCACATTATTGTTTGAAAATGGGTTACTAAAATCTAGAACACTTACTCCAGTCCTCCGTTGTAGCTATTACATTGTACTGTTAACATAGTAATAGGCTTTCTTTGGAAAGGTTTCTAATGTCATTTAAGGAAACGTCAGCCCAGAATGATCCCGTTGATATTACAAGATCCGGGTTTAGCGGTTTCAAACTGTAACACGGTTTCCTGTGAAGGGCTACAGTGAACCAAACTTGTTTACCATCACCAGCAGTCTCCACCAACCTGTTTAATTAATGTCAGGTATACGGTCCCCGTGGCGTACTTTGAATAGTTCTCCAAGCTCCAATTGGGTTTATTGCAAAACAGCTGAAATGTTGAAACTGTTTTCCATCACAAGATGGCCGTTCGACCTCCGTTTTTATAAGAGTGAATATATTCTTGTCTTAGGTTAGGAGGTATTTTTTAAAACCAGTCTCCAAGCTTTTTCACCCTTAAGAAAGTCCTCGCCCCGCTATCCAAGAAACTAAGAAAGGTGGTACTACCATTTCGAAAGTGCTGACTCTCTAAAGCCCTGAAACGTGTTGAAAGGAGGGGGGTTAGTAGTTTAACAAGCGTGATTCTTGGAAACGGACATTGAAGCATCAATCTCCCAATCCGGTACTTGAAATCACATTCTGATTAAATCATCTCACCGCTGTTAAATCGCAGAATAAAAAAGTCCTAAAGCGAAAATCTCAAAACAAAAAACAAACACCAAGACGAAAATAAGGCCTAAAGCCTACTTCCCCCTCCCCCCAAAAAGGAAAGTGAATTGATTCTCTCATCATTCAAGGAAGAATTCAAACTCTCCCTGATAAATGATGAGCTCATCATGTGCAATTTTCTTCAAACATCGCACTTTCAAAGCTGCCACATACATGTACATACTGGATAACAGGTGGTACGAGAAACAAGACAGACCTATTTAGGTTTGTTAGCTTTCTTTTGAAGGCAGCTTTTCATGCAGTTTCTGTTGTAGTTCTTCAATAGAGGGACAAATTAATACCAAGACGTTTGACTGTTGTTCAGTTCGTCACATATTGCCTTCCATATTGATGATAGAGACAGGCCCTGTGTTTGTTTAGAAAAAGGCCTTTCTTATCAGTTTGAGTTCATAAATGTAAAATTAGACACTTCCCCACCGCAAAGAACCTTCAGCAAATTTCAGGACTAGCTTTTGTTGATCTTGAAACATCTGTTGCTTTCGCCCTCTCAAACGATGGGTACATTAATTTTGAACGCCTGTCGGTTAATGTGCTTTGCTTTTTGTTGTGCCCAATTCTGCCCGTCGCACGACTGACAACGTGACGACGCACGACGCACGACTTCCCCCGGCGCCCGCGGGCGACGGCAGATATGGAATTCCATGTCAAGGAGATGGGACAGGTAAAATGACGAATGGGGATATAACATTGTTTCAAAAATCCAAGGTTACTAAAAACTGGAACACAGTTCCTGCGTTCTAGCCGTAATGTTGTTTTTATGAAGTCAGGTTTCTTTATAATGGTTCTACACAGTGTCATTTCCGGAAATATCAGCGCAAAATGGTCCGGTTGGCATAACAAAGATCTGGATTAACCTGAAACACACATGCAACTTGACGCGATTTAGGGAATTGGTAAAAATCTATAAAAGGAAGCACAGAACGCACAATGGCAATCTTGGTTCCTCTTCTTAAGACAAAGGTGAAGTTAACAGAGCTTGACAAAGTACGTAGCGTTATGGCTGCCCGACAGATTTCGTGCACAATGCTCTTCCTTATCCTAGGCTTGGCTGCCGGGGTTGATCTGGACTGCCCACCCTTCTGGACTCGCTTCGGTGACCAGTGTTACCGTTTCTTCGGTCCACCCAAGGCCTGGCATCCGGCCGAGGAGCACTGCCGGGAGTTCTTCACCCGCAACGGCCAGGGGCACCTTGTGTCCATCCACAGCTCTGCAGAGAACGACTTTTTACGGCAGTTGTGGAACACCTCAGCGGTCCCGAACACAGGGCCCATACGGCGCTGCGTCTGGGTCGGTCTCCACTACCGGGAAAGTGAAGGAAGCTTCGCTTGGAGTTGGAGTGACGAGGCGTCCATGAGCTACGAAGATTGGGGGAGCAGTGAGCCGAACGGTGGGGGGCGAGGGGAGGACTGCGGCGGTTTGTGGCGTCCTAGTGGCACGTACACTGGATGGAATGATTACAGATGTGAGGAGACCCATCCTTACCTTTGTAAAATGCATGCTAACAAGATGTAAAACGGAAGAGCAAACCAGTTAAAGAGCAACTCTAATGAAAACATGTTTTCCTTACAGGTGCTCTTTAAGTAACAGTTACAATAATCCAGTGTGGAAACAAGCACAAGGATGCAGACACTTCATAATGTTCAAACTTTTTCGGCTGAAGGCCTATGCAAGGGACGACTTCCGATTTTGCAACTACGAACCTACTGCATTGCCGCGTCATTTAAAAATAGGTCTGGAAAAAGGCCTGTCTTATCCACATTGATGTAAAATCGATAGTCCACTTCCTAGTAGAACCTTCAGTAGCTTTCAGGAATATTGGTTGATCTGGAAACATCTTGAGAAATATGACTTTTCGGTGCCTTGAGGCTAAAACTGGTTAATACTTGGCACGAAAACAAACACAAACGCACATTTACGACGCAAAATTACAGATTCCCGCTGCCAATTTGCGAAAGTTGAACCCATTTCAACTTGAGCGAAATTTTACTGTAAATCTTTGTGACTTTGTGACGCTTCGCTTTCACATTTTAGAATGAACTGGTCTTAGCTCAGATAGAACTTATAATGCTATACTTTGACTTAACAGGTTTTATGAGATTAGAAGTTAATAGTGTGTACCGGTACGTTCCTTTGTGAATATGCTGTATTATATTATCAGTATATCATATTATTATTACGCTGTTATTTGATGGAAAAAATGTTGTGTAATCAGCATAATATTTAGCCAGAATTACATTAACGATATAAAAAATGGTTTGAGACGCTTGTGTGTATTGTTTCAGAACTCCCGCACATGTAACAGTTCATCGGTTCACTTTCAGGTATATTTAGCGCTATTTTTTGCTATCCGAAGAGTTTAAGACGACTCGAAGTAGAGAAATTTCATGCTAAGGTTCTGGGAACTTCAATTGATTCGAAGGTTTCACACGACTCCAATCTCTTCACGACGGTCTTCTGGGTCCGTCATTAATTTAATTGAACAATAACGTTTGGAGCTGCATTTCTTCGTGCCTTTATTAAGTACGGACAATAGGAATGGAAATTCACAAAGTTAAGGTAGAAAATTGGAAGTTAATTTTGAAAGTCTTTAAAAGCTGACAGTTTATTGCAGTGTAATGTTAGCGTTAATCTACTTGTTAATGGAATAACAATAGGATCAAAAGATGATACGCATGTACCTAATTCACTCAATTATGTTTCATTATCTCATATTGCCGCACTTTGTAAATCTCGATTCAGTTTCTTTGAATTGATTTTGCAAGAAAATGAAGAAAACAAACACAATTCATAATGTGCATTAAAACTTCATCCAAACTATCATGATGTATCATCAAACTATCAATACATGTATGCTCGTACTTTGAAGAAAAAAATTGCATGGCAGTGTAGACCTATCGACGACTTGTTTTGGCCCATGTGAGTGTTCAACTTTACGTGCAAGCCTGTAGACAGTCAACAAAATCGCTATAAGAAAGTTGTGTAGACCTATCTACGGTAAGCGATTCGTTTTAGTGTACTTGCATGCATAATGTGATAACATACTATATTCCACATACAAAGTGGGCACTGTGCCTAGGACATACAAATAAATCGAGGGGGCTATATCGCAAGTTAGAGAGCTTGCTAGAAAACCACAGTGCCATCACGGGCCGTACCAACAACCACAAGACAGTGCACTAGATAGCTTTCAGTATCATCCTTTTTCAATTTTCAGCAGCTTTAAACTAGAGTACATGGCTTACACAAACAGATCACATTTTAATATATGCATTGTACAGCTTGCCATCAAGGGAATTGGTGGACGGAGCAGCGAGTAACCGGCGACGGAAATAGTGACAAGATAGGCCTAGATTTTTCGAAGTTCGTTTTAGGAGTTACAATTTGTTGTTAAGAGTTTGTAATGGTGATAGTCCGTAAAGATTACGTAGATTATTAATTAAGGCCAGTCGCTTGACTTGACCAGTTAATCGCGCCAAGAATCACTCCACATTCCTCAACGGTGGACTTGCCACAGGAATGTCCGGTTGAAGTTAGTGGCTCAGGAATTCTGGTCTTCGTCGGATTCTGACCAAGGACGTGGACGCGGCACTCGGCTCTTCCGTTATGCCAAGGTTTCAGGCATACCTTTGGACCCAATGAGTGCCCATCGACAGGGCTCACTAGCCTTGTTGGTTGCTGGCCGTAGCTCCTCTGGCTTCCCGCCATTGACCCGTCTCCGTGTCAACCCGGCCAACCTATATCACCACCTTCCTCACGCACCACGCCCAGCAGCCGTGCCCGCTCAACTAGACGCATAGCCAGTAACCCGCCTGCCGGCTCGGCCACCTGTCCACCGTCCCACACAGTTCAAGTCCGGATGTCGGAGTCGCCGCAAGTTCACCAGCAAGATCAAGGCAAGAAGTCTATCGCGACTTTCCGTTACCCGGCCGGCGGCCGTCTAGGCTCAGGATTCCACCCGTGGAGGTACCTCCCCTCACACAGCCATGGCAAGCCACAATAATTTATTTACTTTATAATGTATAAATTCATTTACCCTTGATTTATTAGTCAAAGAAGTGTCAATTAATTTGAGTGAAAAGGATTATAAACATATCGCTTTCCCTTATCAAAGCCTTGATTCTGCTCCTGAATTCTTGGAGTGTTCTTTTCCTTCTGATCTATTTATGTTGAGTCTTACTTTTGGAGGCGGCTTCGTAACAGTTTGTTTTGGGAGAAATAAATTCAGACCTAAAAATGTATATCTCATGGAAAATTAAAACAAAAATTTCTCATCAAAAACTTTATCCAAAAATCTACCTCGTAAAAACGTTTCAAAAAGAAACGTTTCTAAATATAGATCTCACAAGAACAAAATGGCGAACATATGTCTCCAACAAACGAACTTTCCAAAATTCTTTAAAAAAAAAAAGGTGGAGAAAAATACACTTCGTAAAAACGAATTTCGAAAAAATCTACTTTCACAAAAACGAACTTGAAAAATACACATACACTTAACTTATTGAATAAATGTACCTGATGGTACTACAGGGCTTTCGTAAAGTAACGACCACAAACTAAAACAGATCTTTGTAAGTATTTGCTTTATTCAATCTTCCTCCAAAATGTCTGAGCCAGCAGACTTTACATGTATCCAAAAATACCATACACTGAAATCGTGTATTTTAGAGAGAGCATTGCTTGAGGGTGGTTTGCTTTTAACAATAATACACCAGTTGTGAACTGTGATAAGCATTCCTTGGCAGTTTTGTAGGACCTGACCATGTAAAAAATGTTGACCTTTGTATACATGTACACCGAGACTGAACATATCTTCAAAGTTCCTGATATCTATCAACTACATGTAAACATTAGAAAACAATCCAGCATACAATGCATCAGGAATACATTTCACCAAGAAATTCCCACTGCCACAGTACTCATTACATCTAATAAACATGGTGACAAACAAAAATGAAAATATATTACTTGTATAAATCACAAAAAATTCCCCTCACGGGTAGTACATTCCAATTTGTACTCACAGCTAAAAGGCTACAAGTATAAACAAATCCATTTTCAGTGTAAAAATATGTAGTAAAAACGGTATACAATATTAAATGCTGATAAGTGTTACAAAGTAGGAATGGAATGTTTATAAATCTATACATTTATTGCAAACCGTGACATTGAAACAATTTAGAAGGTCATGTACAGTAACTCTGATATGAAAGACACACAATTTAAATAGGCACACGTGAAAGTGCTAAACTTAACATGTTCACAACTTGAACTAGATGAAGTGACCTTAAATATACAG